CCCCCCCCCCGTACCTTTCCCCCTCCAAGTCTGGTCCTGAGGCGGGACGTGCTGCACTGACGGCATTTCTGACTTTGGGGTAAAAAGATTTTGGGTGACAAGAGGACGGTTGGTTTGCACCCCAGGCCTGCGAGAACGGCCGGGGAGCCATCCTGCTGTCGGTGGCCAGGGGAAAGGTCTCCGAAGGGATTGACTTTGGTGAGTGACCCCCCCCCTCCCTGGAGAAGCTTGGAAGGGCATCCGGGGCCACGGAAGCTGGCCTGGGGCGGAGTTGGCGCCTTGCCTTAATCTCACAAAGGCCTTGAAGTTGGAGAGAAAAGGCCTCTTTAGGTGCAGCGCTGACCTCCCCCCCCCCACTTCCTCCCCTCCCCAGTTCACCACTATGGGAGGGCCGTGGTCATGTTTGGCGTCCCCTATGTCTACACCCAAAGCCGCATCCTGAAGGTGAGCTCCAGGTCTGCAGCTCCTCGGCCGATTCCTGCTCCGATTCACTCAGGCAACAGGGCCTTCGTTTTCTCTGGGGGAAGGTCTGGGAACCCCTCCCCCCCCAGTGCCTCAATTTGTGGGGGGGGCTCCTTCGGGACAGAAGTGGCACGTTTTCCCACCCGCTGTTGGCTTGGCTGATGGGGGGACGACACTTCTGGTGCACCTGGCATAGCGTTGGCCCACCCCTGCTGATTCCTGGGGGGGGGGGGGGGGGGGGGGGGGGGCGCCCCTTCTGGGGCCCCCGGCGTGGGGTGGGCCCCCCCCTGCTGGTTCCCGGGGGGGGGGGGGGGGAAGGGGAGAAGACCCTCACCTCCTCCCATCCCAGGCCCGGCTGGAGTACCTGAGGAACCAGTTCCAGATCCGCGAAAACGACTTCCTGACGTTTGATGCCATGCGCCACGCGGCCCAGTGCGTCGGGCGGGCCATTCGCGGCAAGACCGACTACGGCCTCTTGATCTTTGCTGACAAGGTGTGCCCCGTGGGGGGAGGGGGGGGCCCTTGGCCGGAGGGCCAGGCAGCGGCTGATCCCGCCTCTCTCTGCAGCGCTTTGCCCGGGCAGACAAGCGGGGGAAGCTGCCTCGCTGGATCCAGGAACACTTGACGGAGGCCAACCTCAACCTGACGCTGGACGAGGCCGTGCAGGTGGCCAAGCACTTCCTGCGCCAGATGGCCCAGCCCTTCCGCCAGGTGGGCCTGGGGGGGGAGGGGCAAGGGGGGCACGGTGTTGCCCAGAGGCCTGCAAAGTGGGCAGCTTTAAGGCTGACGGACTCCCAGAATTCCCCAGGCAGCCATGCCTATTTGGGTTTCTATTTTAAATTTGCCCCCCGTGTGGAACAGCTGTGGGCAGCGACTCTGTGATGGGCAGAAGTGGGCTTGGTTGTCCTGGCAAGGGGCATCTTGACCTCTCCCCCCTCTTTCTGCCCTTCCAGGAAGACCAGCTGGGCCTTTCCCTGCTCACCTTGGAGCAGCTGCAGTCAGAGGAGACCCTGCGCAGAGTGCGCGAAATCGCCCACCAGGTGTGAGGGGCGGTGGAAGCTGCTAGCCATGCCAGCCATCACGCTCTGCAGGCAGGGACCCCGGCTGGCCGGCCATCCCTCCATCCAGACTGCGGAGCTGAGCGGGGTAGAGAAGCGGAGGAGCCCGGGGGGGGGGGGGGGGGGACGACAATCCCCTCGGCCCTCCCCCTCCCCCCACTAATCCTGGATTTCTGGACTGAGGTTTTAATAAAGGGGAGTAGTGTGTTGCTACTCAAGGGATTTTCTCTGTGTGTGCGAGAGAGCGAGAGCGACAGAGAGAGAACCGGGGGAGGCGTGTGACCCTTTTCATCCAAAGTCACCTGGGGGGGTGGGCTATAAAGCTCGCAGAGGCCTCTCCCCGCTCCAAAATAAAGAGTCATTCTTCATTTCCAGCAGCCTTTATGTAAGGGAAAATAAGGTGCATAAATAAACTAAGGCTTGGCTTCACAAGAGCCACCGTGGGATTTGGGGGGCGGGGCGCAGGCTCCTGCTGCTGCCCCAGGGAGTTTAAGGCAATAGCCGGGGGGGGTGAAGCTTCCTGGCGCCCCGCCCCCCGTGATGCTTTGGGACGGTGGCAGCAGCAGCTCCATTCCTGAGAAAGGGACCTTCGTGAATTGGCAGGACTTTCCATGCATGCAGCGCTCGGCCAAGCGCTCAAACCAACGGGTGACCCCGGCGGGCCTAGTGGGTGGAGCGGTGAGTCAGGTCCTGGGTGCTGGTGCTCAGGTTCCGGGTGGGCTGCGGGAGGGGAGAGGAGGGGCCCCTTTCAGGCCTCTTTAGGCTGCTTGGAGAAATGCACCAATTCTGGCTGCTTCTCTTGGGCTGAACCAGATTACGGAGCGGAGCTGCCTCGGCCAAGGCTGAGCCCCCTGCTCACCGGGTGTCCCAGGCTCAGCATCTGGCGGGGCCTTCCAGTCGTTTGCAGCCAGGTTGTCTGTCCAGAAGCGGTTGGCCATGGCCTCACCCCCAGGGCTAAGGAAGGGACTGGCCCAGGGTTACCCAGCCCCGGCCAGAGGGGCCCAGTGGCTCCTTCCCTTGCCCCAGGCAGCCTCCGCAGGACCTCCCTGCTCTGGCCAGGCCCAGCCATCCTTGGGGCCACGGCCCTGGGTTGCAACGGCTGCCGAGCGCGGTGGACTCACCTTTGGGGCTGCGGCAGCTGCAGCCTCATTCACATGCAGCGTGCTGAGGGACGTGGCCCGCGTCATCCTGAGGAAGAGAGGCCCACTTCAGCTCTTCCCAAGGCCAGGCTTGCCATGGAGGCGCCTGGGGAGCCCCAACTCACCTGGGGCCTGCGGCGACCTTGGGCTGCCCCACCGCTTGGCCCCGCAGCTTGGTGACCAGCTTCTCACTGCTGCGTTTGAGGGACTCCCGGAAGCGAGAGAAGGAGCTGCTGCGCCTCATCCCCTCCTGGAGAGAAGGGGGGGGGGCAGATCAAAACTTGGGGGCCTTCTCCCCCCAACCACCTGCAGTCCAAGATGGCAGCTGGAGGTAGCCACAGCCCCCCTGCCGCCCTCTTCACCTCCCTCTCGGTTGGCTCAGCTGGCAAGGCTCGGGGGGGAGGCAGCGGTGCCAGGGAGAAGCAGCTTAAAGGATTTGCTCTCCGTGCCCCCCCCCCATCCCTCTGCAGAGGGTCGGTCTCCAAAGGACTCACCTGCCCTTCCCAGGTGTTGCCAGCTCCTGTCCAGCTATAATCTGAGGAAGAGGCAGGGAGGGGAGGGGGGGTTTCAAGAGGTGTATCCAGATGCTGAGGACCCGGGCACCGCCCTGCCTCGCCCCCCCCCCCCGCCCCCAGGGGGGAAAGGGCTGCCCAGCGCTGGGCTCTTACCGCCCCTGGGGGGGCTCAGCTCCTGGTCCTGCAGGGAGAGGATCTCCTTGTACAGCTGCTCAGCCTGCGGGAACTTGCCCTGCTTCACGAAACAGGAGGCCTGGCCGGCGAGAGGGAGGAAGGGGCAGGGGGAGGTGAGCCCCTCCCCCTCCAGTACACCCCCCCCCCGGCGCCCCCAGGGGGGGCCGCCATTGGGCCCCCCCAGGAGGAATCCCCCCCCCCCCCGGGAAAAAAGCGGCTCCTTTGGCTGGGATGCTTCTACTTCTGCCTGCAGGCGGGGAGCGAAGAACTGGAGATCCCGGCTCAGTTTTAAAGCCTCGCCATTGGCCAATGTTGCCCTCCCTTGAACCTGTTTCCCTGGAAGAGACTCGCCCAGGCAGGACGTCAGAGGCGGTGCTAACCCTCAAAGTCCTGGGGAGAAACTCCAACCACCCCCCCAGCTCCGCCCTCCGGATTACCAGGTTATTCTTGGTCTTGGCCACGTTGCAGTCATTGGGGCCCAGCTGGGTCTGATAGATGCGAAGGGCCCGCTGGTAATACTGCTCCACCTCGTCGAACTTGCCCTGGTTTTGGCACAAGAGGGCCAGGTTGTTGAGCTGCTTGGCCACATCTGGATGGTTGCTGCCCAGCGCCTGTGGGGGAAAGGGCAGCCGTGCTCAGCTGATGTGCTGCTGGTGCAGCTGGGCAGCGCCCAGGCGGGGCTCCTTGCCCCTCCCCGATGGCAGGAGGTCTGAAAAGAGGGCGGCTCCCCAAGCCCTAGAAGGCTCACCCTGGTTTATAGCAGGGGTCTCCACCCCCCTTGGCCACTTGATGACTTGTGGACTTCAACTCCCAGAATTCCTCAGCATAGCTGGCTGAGGAATTCTGGGAGTTGAAGTCCACAAGTGGTCTACAGCAGCCACCTCCATAGGTGTCAGGGCCCTCCCCCCTTTCCGGCCTCCAGGGCTTCTCCCCCTCACTGCTCCTGCCTGGGCCAAGGACGCTTCTGCCCAACTGGGAGGTTGAGGGGGGGGGGAGTCCAATTGCTGGTTCTTCCTCCCCCTCCAGATCTAAACCTTTCCAACTCTGCCTGGAGGCACCAGGGCAGGAAAAGCTGGCCAGAAACCCACTGGCTCTCCCCAGGAACTGAAAGGCGGTGACCCAGAATTTCCTGGGGTGGGAAGGGGGGCTTCGGTGCCCTCCCTGCCCGGCTGGGGGCGAGCTGCAGCCCTCTCCTTCTCCATCTTTAATTGGACTGTGGCCCTCGGTTGCATTCACTTATTTATGCGTTTGGCATAGATAAAGCTTATCTTGTATTATTGTAAGCAGCCCAGAGTTATTCTAAGATGGGCAGGCAATGAATTTTCTGTCTTTATTATAAATAAATAAAATGAATAAGCAAATAAACAGGCCAAGGACTGGGAGTGGCCTGGGTGTGGCTGTCTACCTTCTCTCGGATCTCCAGGGCCCTCTTGCACAGAGGCTCAGCGTCCTGGTACTTCCCTCGCTTGCCATACAGCACAGCCAAGTTGTTCAGGGTGGCAGCCACCTGGCAGGGACAAAGGGAGGCTTCACGAGAGCAAAGACCCTCAGGAGCAGCATATAAAACGGTGGCCTTTGGCACGGGGCCAAGCCGGGTGCCCCCTCCCTCCTCCACACAGCGCCAGCCTCACTCACCGAAGGGTGTTCCATGCCCAGCGCCTGCTCCCGAATGTCCAGGGCGTGGTTGAGCAGCTCCGTGGCCTCCTTGTACTTGTTCTGGTCCCTGCAAGGGGAGAAGCAGGGAGAGGCAGGCGGTGCCAGGGCAACCCAGGACGCAGCTGCAGCTCCGAGGACTGCGGGGGTGGGGTGGGGGGCAGAGAAACGCAGCCCCGGAGCCCCACGGCCTCCCGATCTTTCTGTGTGCCCCCCCCCCCCAGAAGCAGCGCCTGCTGGACGGGGGCCCAGGCCCCTCGCCTATCTTACCGGTAGACCAGGGCCAGGATATTGAGCATGGTGGCCACGTCTGGGTGGCTGTGCCCAGAGCTCTTCTCCAGGTCCTCCAGGGCCTGCTTGCAAAGCGGCACCGCCACCTCGTAGCGGCCTTGAGACGCGTACTGGATCACCAGGTTGTGCAGCGTCCGCAGGCGTGCCGGGATCTCGTACCCGCCCTGCTGGGCTGCCAAGGCGGCGGCACCCGGGCTCTGCCGCTCTGCAGGACACAACGCCGGGTCGTCCTCCGTGCTGAGGAAGGTTTCCTCCACCTCCACCTGCAAGGAGAACCTGGGAGAGTCGAGTGGGGGCAGGAGGACGTAGGAAGCTCCCCCCAATAGTAGGCTTTGGAGCCAGGGAGGCAGGATCCAGCCCTCGCCCTCCCCACCTCCTCCTCCGCCGTCTCTGAGCACCCAAATAATTTGGACCAAAGATTGGACTCGGGGTCAAAGGTTCCTAGGAACCTTCAAAATTTCTTTCTGACTTGGATTCTTTCAGCCGTCAGCCACCTGACCCGGAGGAACACAGGAGGCGCCTCGTCCACAAACGTCCCCCCACCTGAGAAAAGCCCCCCCCAGGCCGCACCTGCTCCTCCCGGGGGGGCTCGTAGTGCTTGAGCTGGTTGAGGAAGCGCAGGTGCTTGTTCTCCTCCTCCAGCTGAGCCACGGCCTCCACGCTGTGCTGGAGCCTCAGCTGGGTGCTGGCCAGCTCCTCCCGCAGCCAGAGGTTCTCCTGGCCCAGGCGCCTCACCTGGGCCCGCAGCTTCTGCTTCTCCGCCTCCAGCGCCCCCATGTGCGAGGAGAGGGCGATCAACATCTGCGGGGAGGAAGGGGCCGCTCAGCAACGGCAGCCTTTGCCCGCAGGAGACCCAGAGGGGCTGTGGGGGAGCAGGGCAGGGACCGGGGCTGTGCAGAGCCGCAAGAAGCGGCTCTCAGAGATCGAAGGAAAAAGGACGAAAATGGGAAAAGAGAAAAAAGGCTTTGGCTTCCTACTCCTTTGGGCGCAGTAGAATAAGAGAGTAACATTATTTTTATATTTTGATCAACTAACTTTTATAACTTTATGTTGATAAATGTTCCATGTTCTATTGCTTGTGTTTGCAATTATACTCAATTCTCATATATTGGAGTTGGGTCACGCTCTCCTCCAAAGCCCCTGAAGGCAGGACGAGAAGCAACGGATGGAAACGCACCAGGGAGAGAAGCAAGCCAGGACAATCAACCCGGGGAACGGCTTCCCTCCAGCAGCCGTGGGCTCTCCACTGGACAGCCGCTTGCCCGAAATGGGGGAGGGTCTCCTGCTTCAGCAGGGAGGGTGACTAGAAGACCTCCAAGCTCCCATCCTCAACCAATAAAGTGCTGAAAACCAAACCATTGGAAGGCACCCGACACAACCCAGGGACGGTCAGGACAAATGGGCACCCTTGACCTTTCCTGGTGGCCCCTGCTAGCACCACCTCCCAGGCCCATGCAAAGCGCCCCCCCCCCCCGGGAACTCCCTCCCCAAGGGCTCCTTGAGCTTCCTGGTGCTCCATGAGGTCACAGCCAGCCGAGCGTCCCCTGGCGGCCTCCCTCGGGGATCCCGCGGTACCTGGCCTTCCGCAATGCCCAGCTCTATGCCTTCCAGGCTCCGGCAGACGAGGTCCTGCTTCTCCTCCAGGAGCTCCAGGGCCTGGGCTTCAGCGGCCGCCAGGGGGCCCTCCCTCTCGTCCATCAGCTGCTGCTCCTTCAGCAGAGCCTCCTGCAGCCAGTGGCGGATGCTCCAGTTCTCGCTGCGCAGGGCTTCCAGGCCCCTCATCACCTGGCGCGTCTGGAGGATGATGTCATCGCCCGTCACCCTCTCCGATCGGCTGTCATCCAGGCCCACCATGATGGACATGGCAGGCCACGCTGGCCCAAGGAAGGAGGGCTCCGAGGTCCTGGCGTCTCGGGGGGCCCTTCTAGAAGGCAAAGGAGGAGCCCCTCTGGCAGTTGTCCCTCATGGCTGGGAGCGTGTCCCCCACTCCAGGGGCCTCCAACCTGGGCGACTTTAAGACTTGTGGACTTCAACTCCCAGAATTCCCCAGCCGGCGCTGGCTGAGGAATTCTGGGAGTTGCAGTCCCCAAGTCTTAAACACGTCAAGTTGGAGTTCCCTGTTTTAATCCTAGACATGAAGGTTATCCGAGCCCTCTGCACACTCTCAGAGGCATTTTGGGTCTCCAAACCTGATCTTTTTTTACCCAGGCTCTATTAATCAGAAGGAACATCAGCTAGAGAAGTTGATGGGGTGGGAGGGACTGAAACTTCCGGCCCCAGAATGCAGGAGCCCTTGGGTTACAGCCAGGTGGATCTGGGAGGCTGCCCCCCCCGGCCCAGGCCCTTTGGGGAAGCTGCCTGCTGGATCCACACAGCTGGATCCCAAACCAGTCTCTCCAGCTGGATGCTGCCACCAGAAAGCAGGCAGCAACACGCTTCTTGGCCAAGCCTGTCTGCAGCCACACACACGCCTCCCGAAGGAAGACTCCTCGCCCGCCTGACTTCTCCGCCTTTGAAGAAGCTGGGCTGGGTCTCCTTCGGCCCGGATCAAGGCTCCCCCGCCCTCAGGCCACCAGGCAGCAGGGCTTCCTGAGGCTGTGCTGGGCGCAGACTGGCTGCCCGGCCCCTTCAGAGGGCCCCAAGGGAGAGCCCTCCGGGCTGCCCACTCCCCTCAGCTGACAGGGGGGTGGCTGGTGCGCCCTCTGGCCCTGGTGGCTGCTTCCTCTTTCTCAGTGGGCGCCTCTCTGCTTAATGCAGCCTGTGCAGAAATACTGCCCATCTGTAGTGGGCAAGCCTGCTGCTTAGAGGAGGCCCTGCTTTGCTCTCATTTCACCCTCCCGCCAGCTGCTGCCCTAGAAAACCTGGGTCCTGGGAGCGCGAGGAGGGATAGGCTGCTTCACAGCCCTCTCTAAGCGGTTTACAGAGTCAATATCACAGCGACAAGGAAGCAAAATTTGCCCCAGCGTTCTTTTAGTTCCTGCCATCATCATCTTTCCAGTTTGCCCTCCATTTGCCTTCTTGCCACATTTTTAGAAATAAAAACGTATCCATAATTTGGAGGTCTGGCAACCAGAGCGCTACACAATAATACTCCATGAGAACACTTGTGGTTGGCAGAGGGCCTTTCTCTTGCACCACATCTGCCGAGCTGAGGCGCTATTCTTATGTCTGCAGCCACCAGGGCAAGGATGCTGGTTTGTGGAAGCTTTCCAGAAGGGCCTCCGTGCCACCCCTGCTCCTAAAACAGCGGCAGTGCTCTTTCCTGGGGGCTCTCTGAGCTTGGCTGTTTTCTTGTAGACATTTCATGACCCAACTAGGGAACATCTTCAGTGCTAATATGATCAGGAAACTTGTTCAAGAAAACAGCCAAACCCCTTCACACTAACCCGGGCCCTGTTGAGGCAGTGCAAAGATAAACGTCATCGCAACCCTCTTCTGTGGCGGAGGAAGTGTTTTGCACAAAGCTAGATATTCTGTGAAATGCTCCTTTCCCCCCCTTGTACGTTCCTCACAGACAAGCGCCTCCCTCCCCGCTCTCCACGGCGGCTGCTGCCTTCTCCTCGGCAGGATCCGCCACGCTTCCCCGTGGGATACACCGAGTGGAGCCTCTCCGCCGCTGGGGAGAAGTAGGCCGGCCCGATCTTGCCGCGCCGGAGCACCAGCTCAGCCTAGAGACGCGCCGGAGTCTGGTCGCTCCCGAGGGCCCCCCCTAAGCACGACCGTCTTGCGGATCCGTCCTCTCTCCAAAGCATGCAGCCAGCATTCTGCCCCCCCCCCCCCCCCCCCCCCCCCCCCCCGGGCGGCGGGGGGCTCCCCCAGGTAAGCCGGCGCAGAAGGCTTCGGAGCCGGGGAGTCTGCGTGCTGCAGCAGCTCCGGCAGCGAGGAAGACGCGCCCCGATTCTCCCGGGCAAGGCCTGGCCCGCCGCTCCCTTACCTGCCTCCCTCCCGGCCTATCCAGAGGAGGGAACCCGCGCCGTGCGCCCCAATCCGCCAGCCGCACCCCGGCAGCCTCCGCTCAGCGCTCGCTGGGAAGGAGGGGCGCTCCTGCCCCGCCCAGCGGAGCCGCGGCTTACCTGGGCCGCGACTGGAAGGCGCTCTGCACGTGCCCAGAGGCGCCCCGCCCTTCCGCCTGCGCGCTGTGGGGTGGGGTGGCTATCTCGAAACCCAAAAGCAGCTCGCCCCAATTTCTGTAAGGGCTTTCCCTTAAAGCACGCCGCAGCCTTCTTTATACGCAGGAGCCTTGCGCCCCGCTTAGCCCCTGACCTGCGCCGCCTCCCTCTCACCTGCGCCCGACGTCGGAGCAGGGGACTCCGTAAAGAGCCGCGCTTCTCCCTCACCCGGTCAGCCCCTCCAGCCTTTCGCAGGAGAAATGGGCTGATGGGTGTTGCTGGTCTTGAGGTTACCGCAGAGCCCCCAGCCGCGATCCGTTGCCTCTCCCTGCCCCGGCGCCGTCGGGAAAGCGGTGCCAAGCGGCCCTCCGACTCTCTGGCCGAGGGAGGGAAAAGCCACCACCGGCAGGCTGGGACCCGCCCCACGAGGTCTCCCCCTCCCCCGCCGGTCCTTGGCTGGAGTGAAGGGGCGAGATTGGAAGAGATGGAGAAGTCGGGCGCACTGGCGACCCCCCCCCCCGCCCCCCGGAGTTGCGCTCTGTAACCTCCGCAGTCTCTGGCCAAAACTGGATCTCTGCGCTCAGGAAACAAGTTTGCAGGGCGTCCCCAAGAGATGGGAGCAAGCAAGCCAAGAATCGCAGAGGCTGAGAAGGCCGGGCCGGGGAATCGCGTGTCTAAAGGCAAAGATTGTGGGTCTGCTCACATTTAATAAACTTCTGCAAAACTTCTGTTCGTTCTGGGTGGCTCGGCATGATATCTGAAGCAGCCTTTGGACCCTTTGCGGGTCAATGGGTTCTGTTGATCCCGGAAATGCCTCGGTTCAATCAGGTGATTGTGTGAACGCAATCCCGTGTCTTCGGCTGCTTCTCTCCCCTCAAGTTCGAATTGCAGAAATTAAATCCGGGGAACTCTCTTTGACCGCCGAGGGAAACAGGAGCTCCTCTGCGCACCGACCAAGTTTCTTTCTCTACTCGTTGTGCCTCGGGGACTCCAGGGGAAGATTCCCCCTACCCACCCACCCACCCACCCACCCATAAAGGACCCCCTCCCGGCCCTCACCTTCGCTCTCAAGGCTAAGCTAAACCGACGCTGCTGGTGGGGGGGGGGGGGGGGGGGGGGGGGGCGGCGGGGAGGCTTCTCAGCAGAGCCAGGTGGAGGGGAGGCAGGCAGGTGCTGCCAGGCTGCTCGTGGTCGGGAGAGGCAGGAAAGGAAGGCGGCGGGAGCGGAGGAGCCTCTTCCAATTCCTTTAATATTGTATAAGAAGAGCGCTCGGAATGCGCCTCGCTTCCCTGCTTAGCTCATAAAAAGCCGCGCTGGCCCAAAGCCAGTCCAGTTGCTCTCTTCCTTGGGGGGGGGGGAGTGGGGAGGGGCCGGCAACGCCAGTCTCGAGACTGGCCGGCAGTAGAGATGGTGGAGGGGAGGGCAAGGCAAAGGGGGAGCCGGGCCCTGTGCAGGCCTCCTCCCTCGCCGAGCACCGGCCAAGCCAGCGCATCCTCTCGGCCAAGGGCGAGCAGCGAGTCGGTTCCCTCCCAGCAGGGGCCCTTCGGAGAGTATGGGCTCTTTCTCAGGGGACCGCGGGTCGCCAGACGCTGCCTCTGGGGAGGCACAAACCGAAGGGCCAGCACCCAGCAAAGCCCCGCACAACTGCAGAGGCTAAAAGATACCGGACTAAAATCCTCACGTGGTTGGAAAAAATGACCCCCCCAAAAAAACAAAAAACATATAGACTTTAAATCAGAGATATTTTTATTGGATATTTTACCGGAAATATACAGTAGAGAATTGAAATACTTGATTGTAAATGTATTAACAGCGGCTAGAATTGTATTTGCTAAACATTGGAAAAATGAGAAAATACCAATGCAGGGAGAAGTTATTAAGAAAATAATGGAATGTGCTGAAATTAGCAAATTGACATTTGAAATTAGAGAACAAGAAGACAAACAATATTATCAGATATGATATTTATTTTATCAATGGTTAGAAATTAAAATATGGTAATGAAATATTTTAGAGAATTTTACAATATAAGGATAATAGAATTATAGAGAATATAACATAAGGATGGATTATTGGATGGATTTATAATGAGGTAATGAATGTTATAATATAAATTAATCTAAAATGTGAATATCTCACCTAAAATGATGGAATAGTCATAGTCCAATAAATGATGAACAATGATAATATATATATGGCTAATATGAGAATTTATACAAATTATAAGTGAGGACTATGGAGATGAAGCATAAAAGACTTGTAACCAACCGACACACTGTATGTAACTGGAAGGTGGTTTTATGTTTTGTTTTGTTTGTGTATGTGTTTAAAAAATAAATATTCTTAAAAAAAAAAAAAAAAAGCCCCGCACAACTACAAGAAGGAGATCTCTTGGGGTCGTTTCCTGGCCTCTGGTTAAATCCGGGGGTTCGTTGGCGGCCCCCGCCCCAGTTCAGCCTCAGCCCGGGAAAGGCGGGCCTGGTGCGGCTTCCTGTGGAGCGAGGCCTTCGTCCTTCGAAGCAGGGCAGGAGGACCGGGCCGGACGAGCGGCACGCCACGGGGCTCCCCTCGCGTAAAGACCCCCGACTTCCCCCGCTGCCTTCCCTTCGCTCCAGCCGCTCGCGGGCTGAACCAGGACGGTTCCTAGATGATGCTGGGGCGCGAAGGAAGCAGGGAGCCAGAGCCGCCCAGTCAGCGCTTGTAATAAATGCATTTATTCGGGGGGGGGGGGGCGGCGGCAGGTTGGGAGATGGCAAGTGGAGGAGGTTCCTTGGCCAAACTCTGAAAGCTGCAGAGACGCTGCCAAACGCCCCCCCACCCCCTGTACATTCTGAGCAAATCCCCTCGGCTTCTCCGCATCGCATCTGGCCTCAGGAACACCAGCCAGAAATCGGCCCGGGGAGAAACCTCCTCGAAGCAGCCGGGCGGAGGACGCCCAGATATACCGGCCCACTCAGGCCCTTGGTGCCCCGGGTGGCCTCTGTCTGGCGCAGAGCCTCTCACCCCCCGCCCAGCGGCTCTGACTCTCCCCTCGCAGGTCTGAAGCCCCCCTCCCGCTCCCGGAGATTTCCTGGTGGGCTTTCAACCCCGGGCGAAGGCTGGCACCCGGGTCCGCTGGGCCCAAGCCCTGCGGCTCTGCAAGCAGCCACCAGAGGGCGCTGCATTTCCACGCCGGACCCGCGAGCGGCCGAAATGGGCTGGGCAGTTCTTTCAAGCGGCGATCCTGCGGGACGAGAGACCCCCCCCCCCAGCCCCTCCCAATCGGAGCCCGGAAAGCCTCCCGGCGGAAGGGGTCCAGGCGCGGCTTTAGCCTGTGTGGGGCGCCGCCTTGGAGACCATTGAAGCAGAAGGGCGGGGACCCCTCAAAGATGCGCCCCCCGTCGATGGGAGGACCCCAGGTGCGGAGCCACCCGAGGAGGCGCACCACGTGCGGGGGGGGGGGCGGGGGGGCGACCTGTTGCTTTGCCAGCCCACGGCTGCTTCGGTAAAGAGGCAAGCCGGTTCCGCAGGCTGGAGGTGATGGGGAGGCTGAAACCCATTTGCCCCCAGGGATGCTCTTTGCCTGTTCTGATTTCCGCACTGCCTCCCCAACTTTGCGTGGGTCCAGTTCCCATCATCCCCTGCCAACCCATCTACTTGACCATGTTTCTCCCCCTTGACAGCTGGAAGAGGTGTGAACTCCCAGAATTCCCCAGCCTGCTCTGCTCTGCTCTGCAGTTCTGGGAGTTGAAGTCCTCATCTCTTCCAGCTGTCGTGGTGGAGACGCATAGGGGATGATGGGAGTTGCAGTCTGGAGCCTGGTTTGTTTCTGCCGGGCCAAGGGGCTGGGCTGCCATTGCTCAGAGGGGCAGCAGGTGCCCTTTGTGTGTCCTCAGCAGCTTCAGACAGAGACAGCTGTGCCCAGAGCCAGGCCCCCCCCTCCCCCCTCCCTCCCTCTCGGACGGCAATATGCAGACCAGATTGGTTCATTCCTTAGCCTCCAATGGCCAAAGTAGGCGGTGCAACCTGGCTTGGCTGCCTGCATCAAACCCAGTTCTGGAGGTGATCTGTGGATCCCACCAAGGCCAGGATTCCTGAATCCAGCTGACTGGATGAGCAATCACGGAAGATGGCACAGGCTATGGGCATAGGTTGTGTGTGTGTGGGGGGCATCTTCCTTCTCCTGCACCAGAGCCCAGAAGGCTGTTCTCAGCCGCTCAGAGATATTTTGATCTGTTGATACCTTATATATTTTTAGACCTTGAGGCTTCTGCCTGATCAACAAGGAGAGCCGGTAGAGGGAGGGGGGGAGAGAGAAACAGAGAGGACATGGGGGCTCTGGATGGGGTGAGTAGCTTCTCTCTGCTGCTCTGCCTTCCTGACACGGGACCCTGCAGCCTCCCCTCCTTTTGAACTCCTGAGTTGGAAGGGACCTTGGAGGTCTTCTAGTCTAACCCCCTGTTCAACAGGAGAACCTATGTCGAGGGTGTCCAATTTGGGAACTTTAAGATTTGTGGTGTCCAAGATGTAAATATACAAACATCATCATTGTCATTATGATCATATACATAAAAACAAATATGATAACACCAATCATATTACAACATATATTATCTTCCATTATAGTATCGATTCTATCCATCAGAAATATTTACTCATCTGTTTTTCTTTCTCCTATCAACCATCTTTCCCCTAATTCCTCTAACCTCAATATCTGCCATTTAACCATTTCTAGAATAATTCCCGTGTTATGAAGAAGTCCGATTCTTCTTTTCCTTTAATTTTTAGAGTTAACCTGTCCACTTCTGCCTATTGGCAAGGTTGGACGCTCTTGTCCTATCGCATTCTGGACCCCTGGCTGTCCAGCCTCTTCTTCTTCAACCCCTCCAGTGTTGGAGCCCCCACAATGTTTGAAGGCCCTTCCGTCGATTCCTTGTTCCCC